TGGAGCCTCGAGCAACCAAGCACGTCCTCCCATGACAACTAAAGGGCCAGGCAAGCCAACAGCTTTCGATTTGGAAACCAGACCACAGGACGCGATACTCGAGCTCAAAACCGGACTACAAGACGTGTCTCTCAAAGGCAAAAAGGTTCCGATCACAGTCATCACAGGATACCTCGGCGCCGGAAAGACAACGCTGCTGAACTACATCTTATCCGAACAGCACGGCAAGAGAATAGCAGTGATTCTGAATGAATTTGGCGACTGTAAGCAACTGTACTTCTAGTTCACTGCGGCTCCTGTTTTCTAATTTTCTAATTTGTGCCAACACTCGTTCTGACTTGAATTCGACCCTGTAGCAATCGATCTTGAAAAACAGCTCACCGTATCCGATCCAAACTCTACAGAAGCGAAGGCCATTCCCTTTATCCCTCTGCCAAACGGCTGCATATGTTGCTCCGTCAAAGACGCCGGCGTCGCGGCGATTGAAAATCTTGTACAGCAACAAGGAGGAAACTTCGATTACATCCTCCTCGAAACAACAGGCATTGCCGATCCTGGCCGAATCGCCCCAGACTTCTGGTTGGACGAAGGACTGGGAAGCAACATCTACTTAGATGGTATTGTGACATTGGTCGATGCGGCCAACGTTTGCAAGCAACTAGATGAAGGAGTTGGCGATGCTGCGAAGACGTTAGAAGAGAACCCAGCACATCAACACGAAGGGCCGCTGCTCACAACGTGCCATTTGCAGATCAGTCATGCAGACGTTATCGTGATTAACAAAAAAGACCTCGTCAAAGAAGCGGAGCTCAAGCTCGTTGGGGACCGAATCAAGTCCATAAATGGGTTGGCAAAGATACATTTCACGGAGCGAAGCCAGGTTCCCCAGTTTGAGGGCGTATTGCTAGATCTGCATGCTTACGACACGGTTGACGATGCGGCTCTGCATTTCGCGGGCAAGGGACACAGTCATCATGATGAGGTAAGTCATGATCATTCACTTCATTTTTTTTATATGCCTCTATGCGTAACGCAGACCAGGGTTATGACCTTACCGTCTGCCCTGCATCACTCCCAGACGAGAGGATCTCTTTTGCATCCAAATCTAGCTCTACAAAGCTTCCTGGACCCACAATTGCAAGATGCGCGGAACCCAATCAATCCCGCTGGTGATGGTATACTTTGTGATACAATGCTAACCACCCGTTAGGCCATCACCACAGAAGCCATCACCTTTTCGTGCATCGATGAAGCCAAACTCAAACGAGTTGAGAAATGGATCCAATACTTACTCTGGGATGAGGAGCTTCCACGCATAGCTTCCGCGACTGTAGAGTACACCAAATTCGAAATCCACAGGCTAAAAGGCCGCATCCCTGTTATGGATGGTCCCACGAGGCTTATACAGGGTGTCAGAAACACGTACGAAATTGTAGAAGAGGGTCCTAGAGGTGAGGCCGCCGTCACGAAGAGCCCACCAGATGAGAACAGGAAGGCAGCAAAGCTGGTTCTTATTGGCAGAAACGTGAAGCAAAAAGCTTTCAGAGATAGCTTGACGGCTTGGTTGGCATGGGACCGGGAAGACCGTAGCTCCGTGCTCAGTGATGGATATCGGGTATGAAAAAGGCTGTATGACTAGACCACATATTGGCAACACTGCTGGTGTTGTAGGTATCACGCTATGTGGTCCCGTTCAAGATAGAATGCAAGTTGTTTGTGTTCTATTTTCACCTTGCCGACGGGGAGGGAAATATTTTCGCACCTTTATCAGAGCTCAACCGTACTGGTGGCATTTCATTACCCGGCAACATTCAGAATTCGTTCGAGGATGTTGATATTCCTCGCATCTGTATCTAGGCACCCTAAGCCTGACTTATATACCATCCTGTAGCCTCTGAACCTCTGCGTACGCTAGCCGGGAAATGTCGTTGGAGGTGATGTCCTTTGCGCTATGCTCCTTTACGTCTGCCGCATGTATTCCTATTGGCACACTAATCTCCTGTCTTCTTACGGTCGCTTCCTCATACACCGTCCTTCCTCTTCTCAGTCTCCAATATGACAGCCTGCTCATTGCTCTTATTGCTCTTCTTCACACTTCTCGTACTTAAAGCGCTGGATATCGCACAGACTCCGAACGCGATGGCCACAAGATATACCACTTTGAACGCTCCCACATATGCCACTTTCACCGCCATCATCGCCGCCTGAATCGTGTCCCGATTAATGCCAGACACCTTTTCATATGCGGCGGGCGTATTCAGCGCCGTTGCAGACAGCAGAGCAGAAAATGAACCCCCGAAATCTGTATGCTGGATCATCCTGCGCAGAGTCGGCGCAACATTCGACTGATACCGACTCGTATAAATCGAGACATAGATACTCTGAGCCACAGCACCTCCAATCAACCTAAACGTACTGATCAAACCAACAGCAACACCGATATCAGTCTGGTCATCGAGCCCCAAACTAACCATACCGAAGCTCAATGGACTCGGTGGCAGATTACACGCTGACACAATCACTACTGTAGCAATTGCTTGCGCTTTATCGTTGATACCGATACTCGCCATGGAGCCGATTAGCGCCGTCTGCATGGTGATTAGAGTGACGAGCTGCCACCGCTCGTGTCCGACCCAAGGCATCACGAGCACGCAGTACCACCCAGCGAGGATTGTTCCAAAGGACACCATGTTTGCATAGACGCCGCGGATGATGGTGTTGCGGGCTGGAACGAAGAGGAGGGAGGATTGACGAGGCCAAAGTATGTTCATGCTGTAGTAGAGCATGCCGGCTACGAAGCGGACAACCAAGAGAGCTGTAAAGTCGCGCCATTTTACGAAGAGTTTGGGAGGGAGAATCGGGTATTTGAGGTTTGCGTAGACTTCCCAGAAGCCGAGGGCGATGAAGCATAGGAACGCGATGACTAGCGGAGCGATGACGTGGGCGCTGGACCAGGGGTATGTCACTCCTCCCTACGACAACATTAGTCTCAAATGAATAGTTCGATTTGAAGGAAAGGGAGTATACCCAATTCAAGCCAAGTAACAACAAAAAACACCCTGCCACAAACAGCAAAAGACCCACATGATCCATTTCCTTCACCAACTGCCATTTCGACTTTCCATCATCCTCATGCTTCGTCTCAAAACTCGGCGGCTTATAAAACAGCCACAACATAATCGCCGTACTCGTCTCAAACGCGAAACAAAACCAATAACACGCTCTCCAACCAATACTCGTATACGTGATAAACGCATACCCAACCAGTGGTCCAAAACTACTCACATGATTCGCGAATATCATCACACCCAATGTCGCAAATCTGTACCTATTCGGCACTAGCTCTTGTGCGCACGCAAAACACATTTCTTGAAAGCCTCCGCCAAAGCCGAAGAGCACGCCTGAGATTATCATTTGCGTGATGCTTTTTCCTGTTGCGCCGACGAGGGCGCCGACGGCAGCGGATATGGCGCCGGTGAGGAGGAACCAGCGGCGGCCAAAGATGTCGGCGAGACGGCCGCCTACTGTTACGATTATGGCGGCGCCGAGATTCCAGCATACGGTTATCCAGGGGTATTTTGGATCGGGGCCTAGATCGGCATTTATGTAGGCTAGGACGGCGGCGGGCATGATGAGGGTGAAGAGGTAAGATTCGTACATCATTATTTGGGACTAGATGGAGTTGTGAGAGGTTGTTGGGAGGGACAAGGGAGTGGTCGACGCACGAGGATGGCCATTTTTGTTTTGAAGGAGATCTTTGGGCGTGGTCCTGGTTCTGCATCTTGGGATGATTTGGTGGAGTCGGGCGTGCTGCCTTGCTCGGGAGTTTTCTCGACAGCTTCAACTTGTTCTTGCGTATTTGACTTCTCTGGGTGAAGAGTTGCCATTTTGAGATATATTGACGAGGAAATTACTATTACGACACAAGCGGAGAAGGAAAACCGAAGGAGAAGAAGAGGAACAACTTTGCAGCACAGCAAAGCACAGAAAACAACAATTTTGATATGCAAACCAGTCGGTTAGAATCCATCATGGTGGATCAATCCCTATAGACCAGCCATCCTCCGCCCTCGGTCGTCTATCTCCGAGCAGATCCCACGTGCATATTCCGGTGACGTTTCTGTAGGAGTAAAAACAAGCTCCCTGCTAGCTAGAGCTATATGAACTTGTGGAGAAACCGTAACTTGGGAAGGCTAAATCCTGCATGCTAAAGTTTGTGCCAAAGGTTAGGGAACCGTGAAGGGCGGGGGATGGAAAAGGCGATCCGAAGGCCGAAATGATTCATTAGTGTGGGTGGATTGGTCATTGCGGCATAGCAATTGGAGATATGGCGAGGGGAGGATAGCTGTTAAGAGTGTTTCTTCTCTATTTATTTTTGGGAGGGGAGGGAGCCTTACTGTTAGGGTTCTTTAACGTAGTTCGGATTTTGATAGGCGGAGCCATGTAAACTTCGAAGCGACAGATTCAGCGATTCAGCTACGAAAAGGCACGAATTGTAATTCGGAGCGGCCCGATTCCTAATCCGAACCTCTGCCTTGGTAATTTCCTTTTCGTGCTGAGCCGGGAGCTGTTGCTGCTTGAACATGAGTGAGAAAAAGGATGCATAGGAATACTTTTCTGGGTCCCGGGTTTAGACCCACGTACTGCAAGTTCATCCTTGCCTGATGTACTTTGGAATTTGTGCATCGCATTCGAGAAACCGGAACAAGTGCGTCAAGCACGCGAATGACACTTAAGCCATTAAAGCTTTGGCGGCTGAGACTTACGAACTTATAGAAGGAAAATAGTAGAAGTCGCTGTTGCCCACGGAGGAGAACAGGGCTGATGGTCGTTCGTATTTATCAAGTTCGGAAATATGATTTTCTCGGAGCGTTTGAAGTGGCCGAGGCCCGATGGCGCGTTAAGAGGCTCGTGCTAGTAGCTGTGGCTGAGATATTTTAAGTGGTTATGACCTATTACACTATATATATAAAAAATTTGACTTTTCAACTAAAAAAGGGGGTTCCATGGCGCAATTGGCTAGCGCGTCGTAAGTAAATTTCTACCGCCTAAAACTTACTGTCGCTCACATCATTGTAGTGACTGTTAATCAGGAGGTTCTGAGTTCGAGCCTCAGTGGGACCGTTCGTTTTCCTCTCTTTTTCTTTTTTTCCTTTCTCATGGCACTAAACTGTCTATTTGTAGTGCTGCCACGGTTTACCTTCGGCCTTTGGCATTTTGCTCTTTTTTGTCAACAACATCGACACCACCGTCAATTGTGAAGTTTTTGCGTGGGATCTTTGAGCCCGTGCCAGCGTTTCCTTGCGTGATAACACGTGGTATATCCTTTCGGCATCATTTTGAAGCTATTCAGAAAGTCCCTGCTCGTAGGAATTACCCTGGTTCTTCACGAACGCGGACAGCAGGCTGGCAATGGCTATCCAGATCGACGCTACCATGATCTTCTTCCTATGGTTAATAGAATATAATACGATCCCGATACTTTCAACTGTCAGTATTCTTACGACTGACCTCGTTCTCGGAAAGCTGCACCTCTCGACGAGATGTGGGCTTATGTAAAGAATGAGCGAAGAACGAAGACATTTGCGACTTGGAGAATACGCATTCAGCTTCCTCAGCTGGGTCGGCAGATACTCTGACCGGACGCAGGGAAAAGATGTAGCAGGAACCTCATGAATTGAAAACTAAGGATGGCTATCCTACATAAATAATGTGCTTTGTAAATAACAATAGGGGGGTCGACAGGAGAAGATCATCAGGAGAGGATCAACAGGAGAGCTCAGTATACAAGCAATGGTGCTACCTGAGAGGCCAGCACTCGGTTACAGATACCTGCATCAGGACCCGGCGCTTGTTCTGTCTGCAGGAGATACTCTTGCTGGTGCAGCCGCTCGGATGATCCGCAAATAGTTGAGCATCGCTGTCATCGAATAGCACCAATTGGTGCTGTAGGTTGTAGCTTACACTAGCTGCTTACAGCCTACTTCCAACCTGCTTGGCACTTATCTGCCTAGTCACTCCTTTATGTATATCTATCACCTAGATAGCCCTCAGTTCATCATGAGGTCGCTGCTACATTGATTCCCTGCACTCGGTGACAATCGCTCTGCTGAGGCAATCCCATAAGCATTTGAAGGTGACGAGTAACTATAAAAGTGCAGTTTTTACCCGTTCAATATACTAAGGAAGCCGGGGTTATTGTCGGAAACGTCGGAAACCGGGACTGAACAAATCTTCTGTTTTTGGAGTCAAAGTGGTCAACGATGCTTTAGTCATGGTCTGTTCCGAAGCACGTGGGGAACTGGCTGTGGGTTGAGAAGATGCACAGACAGCCATTACATCCAAAACCGAACAAAGTGAGTTGCTCCCGACTCCGAGCTCGGGAGACTATTGTTGGACGGCACGACCGCGTATATGAAGACGGTATTGGTCCAAACATTTTCAATCGCGGCAAAATGGTTTTGGTGACAATCACGTTGAAGAGCCCGTCATCAATCTCACCAGAAAGAAACCGGGGAGCATTCCACATCGCACATTAGTAGATGAAGTTGATATCACTTCGCCGATCGACTACCTGTGCAGGGACAATGATCAAGGGGTTCTTCCTGGCATGGGAAATGAGACAGATGACAACGAGACTCTTAAGCTAGAAACTTTCCATGGAAAACCCGTGGTTGTACTTAGAAATGGAGTCGCCAAGCTTATGAATTCTCGGCCGAGGCATCGTTACGGTTCCGTCTGGGCAATAAGGAGGCAGAACGAATCCTGGGCCTTGGAGAGAAGCCGCAGATTCATTTCTCGCCTGAAGAGATTGACCTCAGCATTGGCCATGATATTGTCCACAGAAAACTGGCTGAATGACTCCTGTCATCAGTTGAGGGAGCTGAGTGGGTTATACAGATAATTCATGAGCTAAAAGCGCTTCGAAGGACGTTACATCAAGACAAAAAGCCGGAAGCAGAGTCTCTAAATGATATTAGCGTCACCCACATAATAATTCTCTAGGATGAGCTGGAAGGATGAGGAACTTAGAAGGAAGCTTCAACCTGGTGCGATTTTCCCCTGTAACCGAGCAGTAACATCAGCTACCTCAAATATTCGTTCTGACACTCCGTGTTTCTCATCTTCCTACTGCATACAAAGCTCATTCTATGAATTATCTATGTAGAGTAGTTTTCCGCTCGTTCGATTGATTAATTAAGTTGCTCATTGACTTCGTACATTTGAAAGGGTGCTCGCTCACATTCCCTGCAATGAAGCGAAAACCGGGACCGAGACATACAACAGGGTTTACATTCGAGGTATGCAGCTGTATGTGCCTGAAGAGGCGAACCTTCAAACACTCTTCAATCATTGCTCTCTTTTCCAGAGGGCACGTATCATCCGCACAAATGCGCCTCTAGTGTTCAAGTGGACGATCCAGCACATCGTCTCGGCATCACGATCAAATTCAAGTCAAAGTGGAAAATGATAGAAAAGAGCTGCGGGCAAAACTACATGGGAATGCAATATAGACAAGGTTAACCCGTTGGTGGGAGCTTCTTGGAGGGTAAGGATGAAGCGTGGACGGAAAGCCAGCTTCGGCGATATCTTGATAGGAATCACGGTCGAGGGGGGACCAAAATATATTATATGTGCTAGAATCTGTGACTTCATGCCAACAGGGACAGTGCTTCTACTTCTCGTGACAAAGGGTAGATAGACTAGGGCGCTAAAGGTTGTCAATATGCTAGAGAATGTGAGCTGTTCTGCTCGACAAGGAGGGAGAAGAGTAACTCCTAGCTTCTGGATAAACCCCTAGATAAACTCTAGGATATTGTGAGGTAGGCCAAACGTTACAACTGTATTTCCTTCTCTGTCGTTTGCCTGCGGTTTGAAGTCTATTTTAAATACCTTTATCAAAATCTTCCCAGGTTAATCTATTAGGGTCGACATCCTTAATTTAACTTTTTCTAGTAATCGGTAATGCATATATAGTTTTTATAAACATCAAATTGCTCAAATAAGCTGGATTTTGGGCGATATATTGAGTTTGCTAAGTAGTAGAATCAACCGCAGCTTCATATTCAGTCTCCTCGCCTTCTGTGCTCTCGTCGAACTGCGAATTTTGAAATAATACACCGTCAGTTGCCCCTGCTGCCTCATCTGCAAAGCTAAGGCCTATCTGCTCAGCTTCAATTACACTATCGTCCTCTGGATCCTACGAACCCTTCACCTTAGCGTTGCGCTCGCCAATTATAATATATCCATTACGCTCCCAATATGAAAAGCAGAGAGAAGTTCAACTACCTTTTAGTTAAGCGTCGCCCGACACTTAGGGAGAATAACGCTAGCTAAGCTGAAAATTCGCCTCGACTCAGAGCTCATGGCTGGGATAGAAAGGATATCAATTGTCATGCGAAATAGTCTAGGAAATCGACTTTAGATGGCAGGGCGACGCCAATAACTTGAAGGAACAAGGTTCTCATCGCTTTTGGGGCCTCTTTAAGATAGACATCAAACTCGTCGCGGGTAACACTAGGAATGAACTCACGGCCTTGCTTTAATCGATCATTAAGGTGGGAGGGCTTCTAGTTTTTCTTTCTTTGACGATTTAACTATTAAACTAGTTGGAACTTGTCTAGTGTTAATGGAATCTGTAGTATTTCCAGAGGCTCGTATTCTTCTTTTGTAAAGGCTTTTAACCTTGGCATAGCCATCCGTAGAATTAGCTTTGCCTTATTCACGATCGAGGTACTGCCTTTTTAAATGGGGATTAAAAAGGATTAATATGGCGTATGCAGGGGAATCGTTAGTGAGCTTATAGTCCTCTTTTGCTTTCTACAATATCTGCTTAATGACTACATAAATTCCCGTCTCACCTTTTTTGATTTTTGTACTCTACGTTCAGACTCTCGAGGTCTTCTATTAGGGTCTTGATTATGGGAACGACTTTAGTAATCCCACTGTGTTTGCCTTTATCTAGTCGACTTCTAAGCTCTTCGGTTACATTTTTAAATGCTTCTAGTAAGTTTGTAACCTCTGCTGACACTACCTAGTCTTTAGATTTGAATCGGTTTTAGAAGATGAGCTTAGTAATAGAGACCTCTGCCTTTCTTTAAGAAACTTCTTAGCTTTTAATAGCACTTGGCTTCGGGGTTAAAGAAGTGGTTTATAGTAACGCGAAGTCGAATCTAAATAATAGAGTTCTTTTTAAATTAAATTATTTTTTATATAAAAGTATTTTATTATACACTTATTGTCACGGCAACGTATATCCGGCGTTGAATGCTAGATGAACGAGCATTAGATTGACTATAGATAGCTACGTATAGCTGCCATAATAGCTCAAGACATCTGAATAAAGAGAAAAGAGAAGAAGGCTGAAGTAGAGCGGCCTAAATAGGGGCTCTCTAGTCTATACGTAACACAAGATGTGGCGTGAAACGGCTAAGGGAAGCTGTACCATAATACTTATATAAAAAGCTTTAAGTAAAAGTTTACACATTTTTTTAATCTATTTTAAGTTTTCTAAAATTTATTAAAAGCTAGTAAAACATATTATTACCTTAAAAAATAATTTATAAAAATTTAGTATTAAGTTTATAACTTATATATAAACTATATATTACAGGTTGCTAACTTACTGACGTAATATTAAACTAGTAACTAGTTATCTAACTAATTATATAATGTTAATTAGTTCCCTTACTTCCGGACCGGAGAGCTCGTTAGACTTAGTAGAGATTTAATTAAACTTAATTAAAATAAATAGAAGCAATATAATCAGTTGAGATTTAATAGAATAATATTAAACTATTTTACTTAAGGTGTAAATCTTAATTTTAGAGTAACTACAAAAAAATTAAAAGTAACTATAAGCTGTTTAATGTCCTATACTTATAGTAAATCCTCCATGTGTATATTCTATACTAATTAGAAGTATATTAGATACTACTAGAGAAGATAAGAGGAGATAAAAACTTATCTTTCTTATTAGCACTTATTATACTCCTGTTTTATTATAGTAGGTTATTTAACCTACTTTAAGTACTATTCCCTATAGAACTTAAACTTACTTTAGAGTAATTCTATTTATAAGTTTTGTTTTCTTTAGTTTACTTCTACTCTCTAGTATTACTTAT